TTCTATGCTAATGACCCAGCAGTTCTCTTACTTCGTCCATGAATAGTTCTCTGAATACACTACAGGAATTAGACGACACAGAAATTTCACAGTCTATAAAATGTTCAATAGATGATTTGTCTTCAAACGCTGTTTTTAAATATGGAAATCTGAATATTATAGCTCAAAATATAACAAGTATATATTATAATTTTGACAGTCTATTAATACACTTAGCGCAACTTAAACCTTGCATTGATATAATAATTTTGACGGAGTGCTGGTTAGATAAAAATAAACCAATTCCCACTTTAGATAACTACTGTTCCTATTCGACAAATACTCAGTTAAATCAAAACGATGGTGTGGTAGTTTACATAAAGAATGTTTACAGAGCACTTGTCAAGGAAATAAATTTATACAAAGCTTCATGTTTACAAATAACTATAAATCAATATACAATTTTAGGTATATATCGTTCTCCTTCCATCACAAAAGCTGACGAATTTATTCACTCTATTGATTTACATCTAAATTCAGTTAAAACTAGTCATATTATTATAGCGGGTGACATTAATATAAATTTATTACCTATTATGTGTGAGCAAAGCTATGAAAGAAATAACAGAAATCTATATCTGACCGCTTTGGCTACAAATGAAATACTTCCAGGCTATCATTTTCCTACCAGAGGATTGCGTTGTTTGGACCATTTTATGCTAAAAATTGATAAAAAAAGAACAACCGCTTTCGTCGCAATTCTCGATACAACTATAACAGACCACAATATGACTCTACTTAGCCTAGTGGGCAACAATAGTTTAAGCAAATCTAATAAAACAAAATCTGTAACTGACTTTAATGCCGCCTTAAACAGCCTACATTTAAAATTTTTTGACGATTTATATTTATATACAGACCCAAATACTCTAACTAATAAATTGATCGATAAAATATCTATTGCATTAGTTAAACACACCAAAATTTTAGCTGTTCCTGGGACAAAGAGATTTATCAAGCCCTGGATGACAGAAGTTATACTTCGATGCATAAGAAACAGAAATGCTATGCAAAAAAAACTAAAACAAGACCCAACAAATGATATATTAAAGATCACTTACCGTCGTTACCGAAATTTTTGTAATAAACTTATTAAAAAACAAAAACGTAAACATGATTGTAGCGTCATTTCTAAATCTTGTAAAAATAATAAAGTCCTCTGGAAAAATATAAATGAAGTTACACAATTTAAAAAAAAGAATGTTTCAAATTCGTGTTTATTAAATATAAAACCTACACCCTAGGATTCAGTTAATTACATTAATAAATATTTCTCCGGAATAGGTAGTTGCCTGGCTGAAGAAATTAAGTCTAAGATGTTATACAGCCCGACTCCTAAATCCACTTCTACTACTGTACTCCTAAACTCTTTTGTTTTGCTCGAAACAGATAATGCTGAAGTAGAGAGGGTGTTGATGAATCTTGACTCTGATAGCGCTTCCGGGTGGGATAAAATTCCAAACAGGTTTTTGAAGTTGGGAAAGGATTTGTTTGTGCCCGTATTCACTTACCTTATAAACCTCTGTTTTACGAGTGGTATATTTCCTTACGCACTTAAACAATCATTAGTAACACCTGTTTATAAAAGTGGAAACAGAGACGATATAAATAACTACCGCCCTATTTCTGTCCTACCAGCTTTGTCCAAAATTGTAGAGAAAATCTTAAATACTAGGATATTAAACTACTTAAATAAATATAATATTTTATCAAATCAACAATTTGGCTTTAGAAAACAACTTTCCACAGAAGACGCTATTCTCACATTAAGCTCTTTAATCGTAAAGAATTTAGATAATGGCAAAAAGTGTATTACAGTATTTTTAGACCTAAGAAAGGCTTTTGAAACGGTCTCTATTCCTGATCTTTTAAAGTGTTTGGAGCTTATCGGCTTCAGGGATACTTCGCTAAACCTGATTTTCAGCTACCTATATGAGCGCACTCAGCGTGTTCATGTGGACGCTGTGTTGAGTGACTTAGGAAATGTTATTTTCGGCGTCCCTCAGGGTAGCGTCTTAGGGCCTACGCTGTTTTTGGTCTATATTAATGAGCTGTGCAAACTTTCTATTCCTCACGGTCACATCTTCTCCTATGCTGACGATACAGCTGTTACTTTTTCGGGAGACACTTGGGAGGAAGTGAAAATGCGTACAGAGTCGGGACTTAAAACTATAGCAGCCTGGTTAAATAACAACCTACTCTCATTAAACACGCATAAAACAAATTATATTTGTTTTGCTATTTGCAATTACACTCAACCACCAGCCAACTTTAGCATTAAAATACACACTTGCCAAGACAGCCTACTTTTTAATTGTGACTGTGCTGTTATTTATAGAGTGGACAAAACAAAATATTTAGGTGTTATTATTGACCAGAGACTGTCTTGGTATAACCATATTGAATTAATAACTGGCCGCATAAGAAAATTAATGTGGATTTTCAAAAAGTTAAGACATGTAACAACCAACGAATTACTGAACAAAGTATATACAGCACTGGGTCAATCTGTTCTTACTTATTGTATCCCAGTATGGGGAGGAGCTTTAAAAACAAGATTCATTGAGGTTGAGCGAGCTCAAAGATCCCTGCTTAAGGTCTGCTATTTCAAACCATACCGATTCCCCACTACTGACCTTTATAATTTGTCTGGTGTCTTGTCAGTTCGAAAGTTATATATTTTATTCTTATTGCTTAAAATTCACAAATCTACTAGGTATGAACGTGACAAGACAAATAAAAGAAGAAAAGACTTAGTTCTATATACCGATCGCTGTAAAACGACATTTGCTTCAGTACAATATGAGAAAAGGGCAGTATACCTACTTATATAATAAAATAAATAAAATCTTAAGCATATATCCATTGCATAGCATAGAAGTTAAAAAGAAAACAATAGAATGGTTGAAAACTTTAAATTACAACGAAACCGAAACACTTTTAGACAAAATTACTTAACTTGTTACACATAATTAATAATTTACTAAATATACCATACCTCAACATGCACACACCACATACACATACACTACACAATCACACAACTAACACCAACAGATATTTTATTGTAAAAATACTACATAATTTTAACTGTAAGTCAAAAATCTATGTGTTACCCAAGTTCTAAACACTAATTTATATAAATGAAAGACGGGAAGAGCGGAGCCTCCTAACACAAGTTTCTTAACTTAAAAGGAGTGTTCCAATAATGTATTTAATTTTAAGTATTACTGGTTTGAGAATAAAGATTTTTTGATTTTTTGATTTTGATATGCTCGGAGTTTCTCTGCGTGATAAACCTAGGAATGAGGACATCCGCAGTAGAACCAGAGTAACCGACATAGCCCAACGGATTAGTAAGCTGAAGTGACAGTGGGCCGGCCATATAGCTCAAAGAACCGACAACCGATGGGGAAGAAAGGTTCTTGAGTGGCAGCCTCGTACCTGTAGGCGAAGTGTAGGACATGCAGGAAGTCGATGGATGCAGGTGGCTCAGGACCGTGCTTTGTGGCATTCCTTGGGGGAGGCCTATGTTCAGCAGTGGACTTATGAAAGGCTGTAATGATGAATGATGATGATGATGTGATACATACTAAATATACGTTTTTATTTCAATTCTACAACATATATATATATATATATATATATATGTTGTAATATGTATATTATGTATGTATGTATTGTAATATGTATATTAATATGTTGTAGATATGTATACTCTGTTTCGTACTGCTAATTCGAGTTGAGGAAGTCGAGTTACGTGAATTTCAACTCGAGTTAACTCAAGTTGTAATTTTTCCAAATTGGCACAAATTCAAATTCAAATTCAAATTTCATTTATTTACAAGAATGTAGTTACAAAAAAGGTGTTGTTGCAATATTAAGGCGCTAATACATTCTACCCACTATTTGGGTGTGCAAATATTTAAATGGAAATAAGTTAATTAAATTACACTACACCAACACTACACAGATTCTTCACGTCACTATTGTTAAACGTCACTAATTCCTTCACAGATTCCGCAATGTAATAAGTTCTTGAATATCATAAAATTGTTTCTCCATTAACCATTTCGTCAGTTTCTTCTTGAATATATTTACTGGGAGATTCTTAAAGTTATCCGGTATTTTATTATATATTGTAATAGTCATAAATATCACACTATTTTTTGCTTGATTTATTCTACATGTTGGAAAGTGCAGTTTATTTTGATACCTCGTTAACATATGCGAATTTACTTCTCCTTTCTTTTTAAAATATTCTGGGTGGTATTTAACAAATAAACATACTTCTCTTATATATATGCAGGTTAGTGTAAGGATACGTAATTTACCGAACATTGGTTTGCAACTGTCCCTTTGATGTAATCCGCACAAGGCCCGGATACATTTCTTTTGTGCTACAAATACTTTCCGCACCTCGCAAGACTGTCCCCAAAGAATTATTCCGTAAGAGAGTATCGACGATATATATGCATGGTAGGCATTTATTGCAGCATTCATAGATACAGTATCTCTTAGGCGACGTAATACGTAAACGAAACGATTTAACCTATTACAAGTATATTCAATATGACTGTCCCATTTTAGACCTTCGTCTACCAGAACACCTAAGAATTTATGGTGTTTTACCTGTTCGATTACTTGATCATTACATTTTATGTCTAGATTAATTTTGGTGCAATTCTTTGTATAATATTGAATTATTTTTGTTTTTACTAAGTTTATTTTCAGATTATTATTTTGTAACCATTTTACTATATTCTCATCATATCACATCTATAAGATACCGTGTACGCGCACCTAAAACCACAGAGTACATTGTATATAGGGAACCTAAAACGCTTCCATTGCAGAGGCGCCAATACTGGTGTATTCATTCGATCGTTCCGCCATTACGCCAGCGACGTTCACTGCGAACATACGTCATGCTAACGCACCGGTGTTTTTAATTTCGCAAAATGACTGTTTGTGCTGTGAAATCATGTAAAAATTACTCTTGGAAAAAAGATAAGGATAAGGACATCACTTTTCATAAGTAAGTATACAATTTTATGGTGTATTTCTTTGTAAACGAATACGAAAGCTAAATGTCAATACAAATAATAATACTGCGCAATGCAATAATATTCGAGTGTTGCCTAGTCTATGACATGTTTTTACCATTTTTTAATGTCACGATCAACCGGAAAGGTTATCTGTATAGGGTTTTAAACGGTCTAATTTTACAGATTTTACCCAACCTATAGAGTTAAACCGTTTTAAGACTTAGGATCGAACTACATCTGGCAGCACGGGATCGCATTTTCCTGTGCTTCTATCCTTTTTGGTCACTCAGAACCGTTATTTATTAGAGCGAGAAAGCGAGCGCGAGTGTGTACTTTCACCCTCAAAATTCCTAATGTAAACCGGTTTCAAAAGTTTATCTATCATTCTTGACAATCCATATTATAAATGTGAAAGTGTGATATTTTTTTCATAGGAATAAGGGTGACAAACGAACACACAGTCCCATAGACATCTACATATATCTTCGATTACGATTCAAAATGCAGATGCGTGGTCCTTCCCCGGTCAAGCCGACCCATTCGTGCTATAACCATAATATAGCTGCAGCATGGCTCTAACCACGTATAAAATGATTTGTTTTTGTCCTTCCTTCACGCAGCAACGGAGCGACGGGTTGACGTGATTTTTGCCACAGAGATGGTTTATGGGCTGGAGAGTGACATATCTTTTTTTCCCGGTAGGATTCCGTATCGTGCCGACTTCCACGCGGGCGAAGCCACGGATGGAAGCTAGTAACAAATATTATCGATTGTTGTGACGTGTGACGGGCGCCGGGGCTTGCCAGAAGTTAGTAAGTTACTGTTGTTATAAGACCTAACAACTGTGGTTTCATATAACAGAGGAAGGGCAGTGCCATGCAGTAATGTGGCACTGCATTTTCCATAGACGTGTCACTTACCATCAGCGCGATTTGCTCGTCCGTCACATAATGACATAAAATATATTTTTTAATACTTACTGACACATACTGGCTGATTATTACGCCAGTGGCGCTTCGAACCGAAAAATCTTGATTTCTTATTTTTTCTACGGAAATGTGTATGTTTTTGTGTAGTTTTATTAGTGCCTGGTATTTGACAGTGTTGGTCATAAATAGTTTATTGATATAAGTAGAGTTGTTACAAATTGTTTTTATTCCCTCCGTAGATTTCCAACTGATCCCGTAATTTCAAGTCGTTGGACTGAAATAATAAGGCGGGCTCGAAAGGAATCCTGGTGGAAGCCTAAAGAAAGGACGTGTATATGTTCAGCTCACTTTCATGTCAAGGACATTTACACAACAAAGAGTGGACGTCGTAGAATTCGCTCAGGGGCTGTGCCTGCAAAGGTATTTGCTACGATGTTTTAAGATTCTATAGTTACAAAAACTCTATAAATACATTAGTTAAATATACATTACGAACGTAAACATCTATTTTTTTTTATTACTTTTAACTGTTATATTTATAGGATTTATACATATCTTCAATAATCTCTAATGATGACGAAACAGAGACGCAAAACGAAGATTCAAATTTAGAGGTTAATTCGGAAGAACTTGTAGAAAAGAACCTGAATGAACCTGTAAGTAAAACCGGTTATATCTGTTATATTATTCTATATTGTAACACCAACCACAATGGCTAAATTAATGTAATGTTTTATTTATCATTTAAGAGTACTTCGACGGGACAAAAAACGGGATATAGTGAACCTGCAATCACAAACCAAGAAGAGGAGCCGGTTAGTAATCTACCTAACTGTGTGTGGTGATAATTTATTAGGCATGGAAATGTTGTTATTAAGTCATAAATGTTTGTATATGTTGTAGGAAACACGGTCGTCGGACTTGGAATCGATTTTCGACACACCACAGGAAGCAAAACTAAGGAAAGAACTCAGAAGAAAAAGCGCACTTCAAATGAAGCATGTTAAAAAAATTAAACTTTTGCAGCAAGAAAATCGTCGTCTTAAGAAAAGAAATGCCTACTTACGACAATTTATAAGATTTTTAAAGAGGCAGCGATTTATTAATCACTAGCTTTTTACCCTCGGCTTAGCTCGCGTGAGCTTGAATTTAGAAACATCATTTAATGCTGTTCCGTGCCTAATTTAGCAAAATTCGTTCACTTTTAGAGTCACCTCGGTGTCTGTGTCTCTATGTCTGTCAAAGATTTTTTTTAATTCTAAAAGACTATTAGACGTAGATGATTGGTATTGGTAATGGATATAATGTGCTACAGGAACACGTGAATATACATATATATTTCTAGAAACACCTACTACATTTATATCGGGCGTATCTTCCGATGTATCTTTAATAAAGATAAATTATCTTGAAATCAAAATTGATTATTATTATTTACGTTTATTTATGTCAACATATTTAGTATGGCCCCAACGATTATATCGGATCTGATAGACAACAAATCCTTGCAATAGAACACCGATTCCTACCAATGATCATTCGCGAGGCTATTGAGATTTAAAAAAAAACATCCTGATTTTAATAGGGAAGATGGCTGAGGGCCCCATAATTAATAAAATTAAATCCAAACTCAAGCATACTATTCTAACTATTACATCAGGCCGTCAAACACCTCAGTTCTCCCGTGACCATGGGTGCTGTAAAGTGCCCAAAACATCGGGAATTAAAAAAGTTTAAATTAAACGCGATAAAATTCTTAATTAAGTAAAAGTAAAAAAAAAAAATTCTTAATTAATTAAAGTAAGTAATAAGGCATAAAGTGAAGTCAATTCTGTTAAAAATTCTGTTTCTGTTAAAAATTACGCTATCAGCGCTGCTAGCGGTGAAAAACGATTTAATGATATCGTCATATGACCATATCATGAAATAGCAACGTGTTGTTTAGTTATTAATACCTTCAAACGACTTGTATTTATTGGTTTGGTCAAGCTATATCATGACATAGTCAACAAACAGTGTTAAATATCACGAAATGATAGACTATGATATATGATTGATTCTACGATCTGGCCACGACATATATAAAAATATTTTTAATAAAATTATAATGTTAATGAAAAATTTTGCAATTATTGCAGACAGACCATTTTTAATCAGTTTACATATAGATTAGTACATAATTGAAATGAAAACCTTATCAAATTTCATATTTTTGATAGACGTCACTATTATATCTATTAAAATTATTACACTTTTAAAATAAAATAACAAAAATACTAAAATACTAAACGTTAGACCTTTTTAATAATTTAAAAATATTATTATTTAAATATATAAATGTAAGTTATTTATATTATTAGCAACTGAAGGCAACATATACTACTTTTCCATTTAATGATAGATGGCGCTGTTTTGATAACTAAATCGGTGTAGTTTCAAATAATTTTACCAAGGTTATAACTATATTTTAAACTTTATTTATAAATATAGTATTTATTTGAAAAACATCAATCATCCCGCCTATAACTAAGATATAATAGAAAATTAACATCCAAAGGAATAAAAATACTTAACCTTCTTTTTTGAAGTTCCGTAATCGGATAAAAAGTAGCCTATAAGTTGCCCGGGTTTACTAACTATCTACATACAAAATTTCATGTAAATCGGTCCAATCGGTGAATCCGGAATACACAGACAGTCAGACAGACAGACAAACATTCTAAAAACCATCAATTTGGCTTCAGACCCCTTTATTTAGTCCCCTGGACTTGTTTTTCAAGAATATCTTAGAATTACAGACACGACTTTTCTACAGATTTATTATATGTATAGATGATATACATGCTCTTTTGTCAAAAAATGCTTTTGCGGCGGATTTGTACAGTAATATGTTAAAAAAACTAAAACATAATAAAAAAAAGCCTATGCCAAGATTTACAGCGAAGTTTAGGAAGTTTTGCCTCACATTAAACTTTTACTTTCCGAGAGCATATATTTACGTCCAAAGAGTATTCAATACTTGCATTTGAATTTTGAAAACTCTGAAAACTCTTGCTACATGGTACCGTAATGTTGACGGTGCCCCAGGTTTCACATCTGAAGCATTTGATATTTAAAAATTAAAATGTCAAAAGAGCGACAACAAATATATTTGTGCCTTAGTAGCTGACGAAATTGCTATACGTCAGCAGAGCTTATGGGACGGAAAACAAAATTAAGGACATGTGGACATGGGCCAGTGGCACGTCAGATAATTCGGTTAAAGCGTCTGAAGCATATGTATTTATGCTAGTGTGTCTTAACGAAAGCTGGAAAATTCCATTAGGATATTTCCTAGTTAATGGATTAACCGCAACGCAGAAGGCCAATTTGATCAGAATGTGTTTGTCTAAATGTCATGAAGCATGTATAAAAATGGTCTCATTAACGTTTGATGCTCACCCCACGTATCTTTCAACAAAGAACTTATTGGGTTGTCAAATAAATAACACAGACAAATTAATAACAACCTTTAAACATCCATCGGCGAATCATAGAGTCGCTGTGTTTTTAAAACTTATTAGGAACCATTTTGAAGATAAAGCAACGTTTTTAGATGAAATAGAAGACGAAGTAAAGTGGTCTTTCACACAAAAACTGAATGAATTACAAGAAAAATCTGGAATACACCTAGCTAATAAATTAACCAGAAAAAGCTTGTAACTCAGCTTCTTAGTATGCTTTGCAGTATTGTAGGAATGACTTGAAATAGATTTCGAAGAAAGTGAGGCGACTGAAATATTTGTGCTAATTTTTAATAATCTTTTCGATGTGCTTAACTCTCGGAGCTTAAAACAATACGATTTTTGTGAACCGCAATTTCCGGGAAATAAAACTCAAATATTTACATTTCTAAACTATGCTAAAGAGTATATAACGAAATTAAATATAAAATCTTCGAGAAAGCGTACTTACGACGAAATGCATAAAAAAATAAATTGATTCTGAAAACTTACTTTTCGGTGCTGAAAACTAAAGCAAATACTGGTTTTTTAGGCATGTTAGTGTGCATAGACAGTTTAAAATACCTTTTTGAAACTTTGATCGAAGAAACTCAAGAATTAAAATATAAAACCACCTACAGAATCAGCCAAGATCATTTAGAACTCTTTTTTGGAGCAATTCGCATGCACGGAGAACATAATGATAACCCAAATGCCTGCGAGTTCAGAGGTATTTACGGAAAACCTTATGTCACTTGGAACTGAAATTGACAGAAACCGCAAACTGCGTACCATTAGAAGAGATCGTAGTTTTAAACTGTTCTAAATCAAAAAGATTCGACAAGGAAGACGAAGAGATTAGTACTTTAGATAGTAGTAGTGATTATACCGAAAAAAAAATGATGAAAGCATAATATTATGCAACTTGCTTGTCCACCTATGCTCTCAGGAATATTATCGACAAATTGTTGGGTATATACTATATAGCCGGATGCATTGTGAGGCAATTGAATCGGAAAATTAAATGCATGCCCTGCTTTGACAGTCTAATAAGTAAAGAAAAATTAGAGTTTCATAAGCTAGTTGGGCTACGTGACAAGGGAGGACTGATGTATTCGTTGATGTATGTTTTACTGTATGCTGGCTGTCAGAGGCAATTTTACGTAAAACTTTAAAAGAAAAGCAAATAACTACAGAAAATGATTATAAACTTCTGATGATTAAAGTAAGTAAAAGTATATTTAACTTTAGTGAAACAGATCACCTTTACGGGCAATATCATGAAAATAATATTTTGAAATTGATAGTGGATGGATATATAAAAATCAGGCTGTTTCATGTAGCGAAGACAGAAAATATTTCCAAAAATATACCATCGAAAAGGCAACAGAACCGAAAACAACTAAAAAAACAACAAATTTCAGGGTTTTTAAATAAAATTGTAGTTTAAATAAATAAATAACGTTGATTTCATATGTTCTTTTATTTTTTTATTTACCTTCCCTTGAATAGCATCTGGTTACAGGTATTCCTGTGGGATCGTTTATTTTTTACAGTATAAAATGTAGCCTATATAGGTACACCAAGTTTTACAAACTTCAGAAAACATCTTCTTCCAGTGGCAGGATTTCATTGATTTCATGCAATGATTTGATCAAGTCATGAAACTGGATCGATATATGAATTTAAAAAAAATTAAACATTTGCTATCTCTTGGCCGAAGTTTACGCTTAACCAAACTTACTTTTTTCTTTTTTGAAAAATAATTAATGTCTTCGTAAAAAGCGGCAATATTTTGTGTTAAACAGTACAAAAGTGTAGTACTCTGTATATATTTAATAATAATAGATTATAAATATATGTTACGTACATAAATATCTACTGTGCTTATTTATTTATTTTAACTGTTACATTAATTATAGGTTTTATTACATATCTTCAATATTTTAGTGCGATGTTCGTACCTACATAAAACACACATAACCAACCATATCCCCATACATACACGCACACAAATGCACACGCCTCGCACACACATTTTATACTCGTAGAATCTACAGGTACGTCAATATGAATGAAATATAAAATCTCCCACATTTATTGGGGAATCGATTCGCACTGTTATTACCGAAGTCACGCACATTAACGCAGCCATAGTATGTAAGATATGCGCGTCACGTGGTACTCACGCACATGAATCAAAGACTGACGGCACTATGAACGGTGCGGTGTGTTAG